AATAATTCAACATATTAGTAATATAAATATATTATATTAGTTTGAAACTTTATTTTTGATAGATTATGTGGATGTATGATCAAGAATTTGTCAGTTTTTATTCATTCTATCAAAACTTTTTAAGCTGATGCCTGATGTGATGATTTAATTCATTGAAATAGTTACTGGTAACATTTTTAAACATTTCAGACAGTTTTTAATATGTTTAGGTAAATTTGTCAATTTGTGGGATGCAAAATATTAGATACATTTTGATAAAATAGTGTATTATAATGATTAAGTTATAAAAAACAAACAGTAAAAAGTCAACTTTGAATTGAATTCTCTACGTGATCTTTATAAAAAAATGCTAGTAATATTTTTTGTTTTATATAAATTCAGTGTCACATACTTCGTAATAATTATCTTATATGGATTTTATATAATTTATATTGTACCATATAAATCGATTTGAAAAGTTTTTTATAAAGTTTTTTCACGTCCGGTATTATATCTAGTTTTCTATTAAAACTATCTTCGCTGAAATATAAAATAAAAAAAAAATCCCGTAGGAATAAAAACGAATGCGTTGTTCTAGAAAAAATAGGAATGGTTGCTCGTATTCTCTTGTACATAGTTATGTCGTTATATGTAGTTATTTCGTTCAAAAAGTAAAAACTTGTTAATAAAGTATTATAATGTCAATAAATTACTAAAGGATGTGGACAAAATATAAAAACTATTTTCTTTTCAGATAGAAAAAAAGGTGTTAATAATAATGTATGAAACTAAACACAATGGAAATCACCTGTGACGATAATCGAACTGGCGAGGCCGCAATAGACGGCCCGGAACTAGGYAAATGTGAAACGTTTTTTACTTTCTAGATAGGGATATTTGTCACATAATATAATTATATTATTATTATAAACTGTTAACAGATGAAACTATTATTAAATTTTATACAGTGATTCACCCTAGAATGATCACTCCATGAAAAATTGAGGAGAAACTTTTTTCATGTATTAATTATTATGGTATTTAATATTAGGCAGGTATAATATTTAGAAATTTAGAAAATAAGAATTTGAACAAATTAAAGATTAATAATGGGAATTGAGTGTGTTTTGTAAATCACTCTGCATAATGCATTTCGTATTAGAYGAATTTTTCTCTTAGAGGTCCCTACTAATGTATCATAACTTTGCAGCGCACAACGCGTTTGAAAAGTTTGCAATGATAAAGGTACGGTAGATCTCCTGTCGACGATGCCTGAAATGAAAACGTCAAAGGACAACTACTACAATTATCCCAGATCACACTATCAGGRAAGAGGGAGGGTTTTTCGAATGAACCAGGTCGATTGATGACGCAGCATCTGACCGATTCCAGCTCTTGTAAACCACTATAAGTGTAGATAAGAGTTGCGTGAACGAGTCCGGAGCTACCGAAGCGACGGGGAGAAGAGTGCCGCCAGCCCGTCCGACCGACTAGCGACGGAGTTCGTATTGAACGTGATCGAAATGATAAAGAAACGCGCCGTGTTTGTTATTGCTACTACTTTTGGGACTTTATTAGTTTTTGCTTTCTCGGGATTCGAATATCGTGGTACAGTGAGAGGAACAGCTCATCGCTACGACACTCGTMACACACTGTACCAAACTATAAGAATGTTATTAAGGCAGACGAGACAAAATAATATAATGTAATATAAACTTGAAAATATGGCGATATATCGATATCACAGTAAAATATTGTATATTATTATAGAGAAGGAATCAACTGAAAAATAATAATAACAGTATTAAATATTTTATTTATGACGTAATATTATTATTATAGGTGTTTATAAAATACGAAGTATTCCACCGGGTATTTGTCGTTGTGCATGTCCTACACCCGTCTCTACGTCTTACTAATATAAAAATAACTCATCCATCCTCCAACTCCTGTTTAAACTTCGAAACTTACATAACTATTTTAACATTTAACGAAAAAAAATAATTCAACTTTATAAACGTTTTCAAAAAATATTATGTTTATTTTAATTGGCCATCTTATAAGAGAACTTTAAGAACCTAGAACAACTTTTCATTCATGTTTTTTAATTTTAAGTTCACTTCAATCAAAAAATAATGTTTACCATAATTATTATCATCGCGGCTTCAACATGAAAATTATTATTTCAAATATTATAAATACAACATTATTAAGACNTTATATTATAATTAAAATTCCATGCTGTAACAAATTTTGATTTTTTTTTATATTATTTTTAAATTATTATTTGTATCATGTCACTAAATTTCAATCAACATTTAGAAAACAATTTTAAACACATATTATAYTAAATTTATAAGCTACACAATATATATATAAATATATTATAACATAGATAGGTACCTACTAACTAAAAATTATTTGARTTATTAAAAAATTATTTATTTATTGCGGTATATCATATAAAATATTAAAACATAATAATATAATATTATAAACAATGTAGCTCACCACATCTATGATTTGCATGAGCATAAGGCCGAAACTAAGTTGTAATGGCTCCGATTCATTAGCTACTGGCCTCTCTAGTGTGTTGTAAGGGTCTAATAAATCGTTGAGCAATCGCTTCTCGTGAGGTCCGCATAGCGTTTCTGTAAAATAAAAACATGAATCAAAATTAAGGCATGCTGTGTATGTATACGTAATATGCGAGGGTKCGTATTATAAATATTATAATGTACAGGGTAGATTATCATTTATGTTTGATAGTTAGCTACATATAATATACTAAGTCAGTAAAAACTTTCCACTGTGGAAATCATCACAGATATGATCACTTATATGATTGATTTCGAAGTTATAGGAATTTGATTTTGATAACATGTAACTGCCTACTTCTTAGGATTAAAGTTGAATCCAAAATAATTTTTAAAACTTTTTTAAGAGCCTTCTGAAAAATTGTGTTAACTGGAAAATAATATGTTTGACTGTTGTTTCTAGGTTTTCAATTGGGCGACATAACATAGTTTTGCCGTGGGGAAATATAATACGCTCCGGAACGTTTACAGGATACATTTCGTCGGAGGTCATCATGTGTTCGAAATAGAATTGGTAGCGTGGTGAAAGAGTTAAATTCCGTTTAATGTATAAATAATAATTAATAATTATTAGCTTACGATGGTTATGGTACCATGACAACACACTTCGAACATTCCTAATTTGTCCACGGCATCCGAATCACCGACCGGGCTATAAATCCATRCCACTGATGACGTCATTAAAGTATAATAATATGACTATCAACCCTATCTAATTTTAGCTGTTATATARAATTATAATAGATTCACAAGACTTTGTTTATGCACAACATAATAATATTATACCAAACCGTATTCGGTTGATAAACGAGTATCCCGTTACCATCACCGCGTTGGGGCGTTTAAAAATATTTCAATGTTTTCCTATAACGTACAGAATTCGATAATAATAGTAAATAGAGTTATGGATAATATAATGTTATGTATACTGTAACGTCTGTAACATGTATAATGGAAGTTATAATTTATAATATTTGATGTTGATCATGTAATAATATTAACATTATTATTGTTATACTGTTGTTGTGGGACATTAATGTTTTCTTATATATATATATATATGCTTTGACCTCGAGTGCATTATTATTTATTATAATACACGAAAGAACGTTATAGGAACAAAAATAATAATCAAAATATTGTAAGGACCACAATCTCGTTAGGCCATATTTAAAAACAGAATAATTATGATGATGATGATGATGATTATTGATTTCGTTTCAAAATATAATATCTATTGTTTTAATATCCTTAAAAACATAAATCATCCGTTACGAAAAAATAAAAATAAACCGCAAACATTTACAATGTACCAATTAAATTGTATTCGATTCAACTTATCAAAAAGTTAATTCTACCTAATAAAATATCTGACGATCGCAATATTTCGTTACCCAACGAGCACTAAAAAAATGGTTTTTAAGAATAAAAGTAAACTGCAAAAAAAAAATTAACACAATCAAGTTTCTCGTGAATTTAAACTGAATTGATTTTTCTCCTATTTTGCTAATTAACATTAATAATTCAACATATTAGTAATATAAATATATTATATTAGT